CCCCGTTTTCCCTCTACCCTGACGAGCCAGGGCGCACGCGGTCGATGTCGGCGGGGGGACGGCGCCACGTTCAGGATTGCGGAAGCGGCAACCCTGTTGCACCGGCACCACCGGAGGAGTCGCATACACGGCGACAAGTCCCCAAGCATGCCGCCCCGCACCTCGACAACGATGCGCAGGCGACACGGGCGGAAGAGGTGCCGCCGCGGCCCTCGCGACAGCGGTGTCGGCCGCCCCCGTTTGAGAAACGCGCCGCTAGTGAGCCGCGGCCGCGGATGACAGCCACCCCGCTAAGGCAGAGTCACCTCTCGCTGGGCTCGCTGACACCGGCAGAGGAGACGCCGAGGGAGCGGCCGGTGCCGCCGCCCATGGTGAAGAAGCCACTGCGTTCGGGCCGGCGGCACACGCCAGCACCGCGTTCTGCGAGCGTGGACGATAGGCATATTGGCATCAAGATGGTGCTTCCACCACACCACTGGAATAGCGTCACAGAGCGACGCGAGGCTCTTATGAGTTATGGCATCGATGCGTACGAACCTCGGGATGTTCTGCATAGAAACCAGAGTAACTGGAGCATAGGTTATGGCTCATCAACACCAAAAACCAAGACGTTGGTCAACTCCACTGAAGGCAATGGAAATGGAAGTGAAGAAAAGCTGAAGCTTGTTACTTCGCCAAACAAGCTGATCCAGAGAAGCAGAAGAAATAGTTCCACGCCAAGACGACGGGAATACGACATTATCTCCTGGATGCCGCTGTAGATTATACGAGCAAAAAGAAGAAGAATAGAAAACGGATGCCTTGTATGCAGCTCCTGATTCTGAATTTGTTGGGGATTTATATATGTGCGCTGTTGCTTCGAATTTCCCTACATGCCACGGTGGCACTTTATCCCTTTCTACAGCTTTTTTTTTTTACTTCTATTTCGTTCCTTGTGCCTACATCGCTCTATCTCTCTACCTGTCTCTCGCTGATTTGATTTCGCCTTGTTTTCTTCGTTTTTCTCTTTGACAAGCGCGCCAGACAAGTGGGGGGAGGTAGAAATAATGGTGTACTACTTTACCCTCGCCTCCGACCCAACGGTTTTCTGCTACATGGGTCGTGACAAGTACGAGAATGAGGAACTCATCAAGTACGGATGGCCGGAGGACATCTGGTTTCACGTTGATAATCATAGCAGTGCCCATGTGTATGTTCGCATGCCAAGGGGAAAGGGCATGGACGACCTAACTCCAGAAATGGTTGAGGAGTGTTGCCAGTTAACCAAGGCGAACAGCATTGAGGGGTGCAAGCTAAATCACGTGCGTGTGGTATACACTCCATGGAGCAACCTGAAGAAGACAAACGGTATGGAGGTTGGGCAGATAGGTTTTCACAATGAGTCCTTGCGTCGGTATCACATTGTTGAAAAGAAAAACAACCCTATGCTTAACAAACTTGAGAAGACCAAGGTAACGAATGATGAAGTGAATTTTCAAGCATTAAGAGAAGAACGCGATGCGGAGGAACGTCGCGAGGAGCGCAAGGCTATGTTGGAGAGGCAACAGCGCGAAAAGGAGGAGGCGGAAGCTCGTAAAAAGGCGGCGGAACTAAAATCGTATGCATCACTTATGGATGAGAAGAAGATGAATACAAATCAAGACTGTGTTCCTGATGAAGATGACTTTATGTGAAGGCTTCCGGCTAACTGCATCTTGGTCAATTCTTTACGTCGGTTTAAGCATATAATGCCGTGTTCGAAGGGTTAACGGCGGACTATGAAGAAGAGAATAGAGGAGTGTGGTTATGATTCACTTTTTTTTGAATTGTGCCGTGTTCACCATGATGGGTTTTACTAATAATNGATGTTTGAAGGGACAGGGGGTCAAGCTTTGCCTCCACTTTGGAGAGAGAGGAGGGTGGTATGAGATTTCTGCTGCAATTGCCGCTGCCAGTTGTGTTGAGGCCAGCTGGAGCGGCGTATTTTCGCTCAGACTGCTTGAGCTACTCAAAGCGGTGCATACGGTTGCGTCATCGAAACGTTGGCCCAGCTTCCCTGCACCTCACTGATGAGGGACTCTTGGCGGCATCATCGCAACGCTCGCCTCCCATGGGCATGCCGCTCACTTACCTGCAACAGTACATTGCAGATGTGGAACAGTACCAGAATGACACCTCAACATGGTCAAACGACACCTTGCGGGATGCCTGGAAGGCGTTTCATCACTCCTTGGAGACTGCAATGAAGATGGAGGATGGGTTAAAGGCCCAACAATTGATTGTTAAGGATCAAGTGGGATTGGCATTGTGTACATCGTATGCCGAGGTAAAGTACTTGTTATCAATGTTAGCGCCTTCCCTGCGCTCTGCCATTGTATCTCATTCATCTTTTGTGCATGCAGAGGTGGAAGAGTTTTTCATTCACCTTGGTCAAGAGATGGAGGTTCGTGGTGGTGAATGGGTGATACAGCTTCCACCTCCATCCGTAAGCGAGCTTCAGTTTACCATTGAAAAAGTGGGTAGATTCGGTGATGATGGAAGAGGTTGTATTCGAAACACGCCGCATCGTGTTTCAGTGTGGCGCGGCCGTCTTGGTGAGCCCTTGGGTTTGACAATACGTGTGGGTCGTTATGTGCCTAATATTGCAAAGGCACTTGTTCCTTTAGTTCACAGAGGAAGTGTTCTCATCTTGTCCAAGGCAGGAATGGGCAAGACAACGTTGTTGCGTGATCTTGCAGCCTCCTTGTCACGCGAAGCTTCGAAGCCGCGCGTCATTGTCGTTGACACATCCAATGAGATTGGTGGGGATAGCCCAATACCTTTGCCCTTCTTGGGTCGATGCCGACGCATGCAAGTCCCCCGTCGTGAAGAGCAGCAGCAGGTATTAACGCAAATATTGCAAAATCACTCTCCAGAGTATGTCATTGTGGATGAAATTGCCACAGCCTCAGAGGCCGAGGCTGCGTGGTCAATTTCTCAACGAGGTGTTCATCTTATTGCGACATGCCATGGTGAAAGTCTAGCTGGTTTACTGCAAAATCAATCCCTGAACCTTCTAGTCGGTGGTGCTGCTCAAGCATTTCTCAGCAATGAAGAACGTCGATTGAGAAATAAATCCAAAAAAACTATACTGGAGAGGCCTCATTCGTCTCCGTTTCAATTTGTGGTTGAACTCCATTCACGGAGTTCAGCTCATATTTATGTTGACGTCAATACCGCAGTTGATTTAATCTTGGACGATCAGGATGCCACAAAGAATGCCTCCGTGGGGCGAGTGGTGTCGATTGACCGAGCCCCATCTGAAGAGCTGATGGGTGTGCTAATAGCCAAGGAGAAGAAGGCAGAGTTGGATGCGAATCGTCGTGCCTTGGTTCAGCGTGAAAAAATTGAGGAGGAGACAGGAGAGGACAGGTGTGGCGATGAGGGCGTTGCGGAGGGGTGCCAGCCAAAAAGACCATGGGTGGACAAACGAAGGAGAAAACACCATGGTGGTAAGAAGAAGACCGACGAAGAGCTACTGGACGACCTCAATAGTTTTTTTTGATGGTATTCAAGGCGATGCATAAAGTGTGCCGCGCCTTTTGTCAGGGGACAGCACCGCCTGGATTTAACGACCGCACAGAAAAAAAAGATGAGGCTGGTGAGTGCTTCGTGTGTGTGTGTGTTTGGTTTTTTGTTGGCTGTGCTAGCAAATCATGCGTCCGCTATTTTGTTTTGTCTTTTTTTTTCGTGGGAAACCAGAAGTGAGACCCTACCGAAAAAGAAGGGCCCCCTCTTTACAAAAAGAAAAGGGAGAAGGAATGCCGCCCCTGCGGCTGGGCGCGCGCCTCATCGGTCCTCGCAACGGTTTGGCCGCTTGCGCCTTTACCCTCCGAGAGTCGAGACGCTTCCAAGCCACCGTTTCTAATGCCGAGCTTTCCCGCCGGGTAGCGCAGGCTTTGTTTTCGATGGAGCGCTTCCACCGCGGGAGCCCATCGGAAGAGGAGAGGCGACAAGTTGAACGCCAGGCGTGGCAAGAGCTTCTCCAATTTCCCGATTCCGCGGCCGAGGACGCGACTGCAAGCGAGGTGGCGGATATTCTCGGGGCGTGGTGCTACTTTTCGCGCTTCTGGACCCATGGAATGCAAGGGTTGGGGGATGAGGAGCTCGCTGGCGACGGGGGGGAAGGGGCGGGGAAGCGGAAGGATGTTGCCGTCCCGCTTGTTGACCGACAGGCCGTTACGGCGGCCCCGCCTTCCGCGGACTTGGCGCCGCCTCCGCGCCCAAACCCACTTGACGAAGTTTTGGAGTTTTGAATGCGGAAGTTCGGGCAGGAGGAAGAAGAAGAGGGGGCGGTGTGTGTGTGTGTTTTGCCCCTTTTTTTTGGGGGGGGGGAGCGACGGTGTGTGCGGGGGCCCCTGGGGAGAGTGAATTTGCCCTTGTTTTTCTTCCCCCACCCACCCCCCAGGAAGGCAAAGAATATATACCTGATGTTGCTGCCTCTATTACCTTTATTCTTCTTGAATCGAATGGGAATAGGAACCGCATAATCAGAGAATTACATAGAGGATGTCCATTCTTCTTCGAATTGCCAAATCCATTCAGTGGGATTGCCCCCCAAATTCAGAACCGCAGTTCCATCAACCCACCGTCGACTTACGAAAGGGCAACTTTTTCGGGCCTCACACCTCCATGCCCCGCCGCCCCCTTCGTTGAGACCTTCATCGAAAAAGCCTGCCTGCGCAAGGCGCCGCCCGCCGCGTTTTCAGTGAGCCCCACATGCTGAAATACAGCGCGAATGCTGCGTTCCCCAACCCGCACCAAAGCACGGAGGAGCCCCCTACGACAGGACATTGGAACCCCGCCCTCTCTTTATTGGCGGTGCTCTGAACTGGGGGGTTGCCCAACCACACTTCCAGGTTGGGGGTCAAGATTTCTTTTAAAGCCCGCAATGCCAACCGGACTGCGCGGGACTGGGCTTGCATTTTATGACGCAGGGGTGTTTTCCAACGACCCCCCGCGGTATTTCAACAGAGTCGGGCAAACAAGGCGCACCCCACCTGCGCGTGGACGCATCATTTATCAATGTGTTCGTTGCCCCATTCCGAGGTAAGATGATCCCCTAGTTGTTACCCAGCGCCCCCAAGCGCAGTGCTATTCTAACTTCTATTGTTGGCGGGGGGGGGCGAAGCGGTGATGGTATCTGCGTTATTCCTTTATTCAACGCCGGTGGTCTCCGCCGAACGGCTTCTAAAGAGAAACGAACGTTATTCATTCATATGCCCACTTGGAATTTTAAAGGCGCTGTTCTTTTCGAGAGCCCCGCCATTAGTACTCCCGTTATTGCGAAAGTGCAAATCTGCAACATTTCCGGACCCATCTGGCGCCCCATGGGCAATTTAAGGACGCGCGCGAAAGCCCCACCCGATACCAAAACAAAAACCTCGTTTTCTCCAGAAGGGCAATCTTAAAAAATGAACCCTGGAGATCGGCGAATAAAGTCCCTTCCGACACAACTGCCGGCAAAATATTCCCAGATGTGACATAATGGCGCGTCCGCTTCGCAGGGGGCCCTCTGCGTCTTTGCCCCGCGGCCGCGCAATCCGTCGACACCGCAGCTCTGCCAGCTTACCTCCCATACCCCCAAAGAGCATAACGCATGCCACGCCATCCGTGGATAAGGTGCCTTGGGCAATTTCAGCCCCCCAGGGGCATTAGGCGTCTGCTGCGGGTGTCCTGTGTCTGCTTTCTTTCACCTTTTCGCGCGGGCAGTGGGGTAAGAGCTCGAACGTCCCTTCGAATCTTGCGCGCGTATGCAGATTCAATCGTTCCACTAACCGCGCAATTCCCAGAACAGGAACGTTGAACTGATATATTGGGAAGGCCATCTCTTTCTCTGAAATTCAAGCTGCACTGCGTGACTGCGGCGTTTAATTGGAGCCGCACTTTTAGACCCTGGTTTTTCCTTTTTGGAAAACGCGCGCCTCCAAAATTCCCACGCCGTGTTTTTGCCGGAGATCAAACGGCAGAACACATTTATCCCACTGGAGGATCGCATGTGGACCCAAACCGCGCACCCCCGCCAAATGTACTGTGGGCCCCCGCGCTCCCCAATTTACGGTGTGAACCGTTGCGCCCTATGGCTCCAGAATGCGTTTCGCCCTTTCTTCCTTCAGTGCGGCCAGGGGCTGGTAAGGCCTCAACGCTGGGAGGTGCTAAATCAGGTTGAAGGCGTTGCAACCCTAAATTCGCAACCGCCTTGTTCCTCCATGGGGTTCGGCCGCG